TCAGCTTGTTTCTTGTTGGTGTATAGGAATGCTACTGGTTTGTGTACATCGATTTTGTAACCTGAGACTTTGCTGAATTTATCAATATTTATCAATTCCAGGAGTCTCTTTGCAGAATTGTTTGGGTTTTATAGATATAAGATCAAATTGTGAGCAAAGAGTGATTTTTTTGAACTCTTCTTTCCCCATTTGGATACTCTTGATTTCCATCGCTTGCCTGATTGCTCTTGCTAGGACTTCTGGCACTATGTTGAACAAAAGTGGTGACAGTGGGCAACCTTGTCTGGTTCCAGCTCTAAGCAGGAATACTTTCAATATGTCCCCTGCTTTGAAGAAACATTTTGTTTTTGTTTATTAATATTAAAATTATGCCTTTTCATGGTTAGGGGGATCCTGTAGAAAGTGGAGAATGATGCCACCTGATACTCAGAGTCAGAATTATATATACAAAAATCTCAACTAGGGTGCTCGACAAAGAGAAAAGGAATGGAAAAAGGTGTCGTGTTGTTGTGAAGAGAGGGTGTGAATAGATGCTATCCTATTGGCCAAACTGTCTAGTATTTTCCACACATTGGCAGCAGTTCTTCTATATTCATGGCCATCCTGGGATCTTCAAGCTCTAGGACTGGAAAGCAACCCACTGAGTGAACTGAGTTAGTATGTAAATAATTGGTATGAAGAAGTTTGAGACAAAGAAACACACACACACACACACAAACACAGAAAACTTTCGAATAAATTGCTTTGATCTGTTTCCAAAGCAATGACTATATGAGCATCATATTTGTAATCATTTCATAATTATTTTATGTTTGTAACATTTTCTTCAATAGGTTTTATATTTAAAACACTATAGAAATTAGAAATGCAAATTTATAAAATAGAAGTATTTTCTGTCTCCCACCATGTGAACACAGTGAATTATTATTAAAGAAATCTTTTTAATATGCTATTTTCACACAATAGTATATGAACATGTTTCTAAGTTAGTGTATCCTAAGTAAATTTATTTCTATACTATTGTTTTATGACTCAGCTTTACAAAACTTTATCTCAATACTTTATCAGATTGCCAACTAGTACTTTTTGTTTTTTGACATGTATCAAACAATATAGAAATCTATATCTGGAAACTGAAATTATTTCATTGTTCTAGTCTGTCCGCAAGTTCTGCCCAACCAAGATAGTCTCTCTTAATTTACTGGTAAATTCTCCATATTCTTCTCTGTATGCAATGCACTAACTTATATTTATTTGTTTATTTATTTAAAACTTTTTTATTAGAGATGGAGTCTTGCTATGTTGCCCAGGCTGGAGTGTAGTAGCTATTCACAGGTGCGATCACAGCTCACTGCAGCCTCAAACTTCTAGGCTCAAGCAAGCCCCCTTCTCAGCCTCCTGAGGAGCTGGGACTACAGACATGTGCCATTGTGCCTGGCTTAACTTACATTTAATCACACACATGCACCCATGTTGACATATAGTCTTTGTAGAAATGGGGTCACTTTTTACATTATATTTTATGACATTCCTGTTTTACTTAATGTGATTTATTTTCTATTTATTTAAACATGTTTCCAAGTATTATTGACAATTTATATTATTTGTATGTATCCTCTTTTGATATCATTGACCTATCTCTGTTGTTTAATAATATGTTATGCATTGAGGATATAGACATATGTTTGGCATAATTTCAGAATAATTCTAATTAATTTCTCAGCTTTTCACACACCTTTTACAGTTTGTTGTGCAAAAGGCGTTTGATACTTTATAATGATTTTTAATATTTTAAAAGTACTTCAGAAATGGGGAATGACTGCTAAGAAGTATGGGGTTTCTTTTTAGGCTGAAGAAAATGTTCTGGAATAAGGTAGTGATATTGGTTGTACAACCTCGAGACTGTGTTAAAAAAACCACAAAGTTATACTCTTTAAGATGGTGAATTTTATGGTATGTAAATCATATCTCAATAAAACTGTGTCTACTTAAAAAGCAAAAGGGTGCTAATACATACTTTAGTTTTTCAAATTAAAAAAGCTATTTCACATTGTTTTGAAAAGAATAATTGAATAACAATGCCTTCAAGTATATTGACTATTAGCTCACAGGATGGTGGGGGGAAGCTTAATTTTTAAATAATCCCAGGTTTTGCATCTTAGAGCAATAATTTATAAGGTTGCTTCCCTAGGTCTAATTACCTAATTTTTTAATTTTTTTTTTTTTTTTTTTTTGAGACAGAGTCGCGCTTGTTGCCCAGGCTATAGTGAGTGCCGTGACGTCAGCCTAGCTCACAGCAACCTCAAACTCCTGGGCTCAAGTAATCCTTCTGCCTCAGCCTCCCAAGTAGCTGGGACTACAGGCATGTGCCACCATGCCCGGTTAATTATATATATGTATATATATATATATACCAATTAATTTCTTTCTATTTATAGTAGAGACGGGGTCTCGCTCTTGCTCAGGCTGGTTTCGAACTCCTGACCTTGAGCAATCCGCCTGCCTCAGCCTCCCAGAGAGCTAGGATTACAGGCGTGAGCCACCGCGCCCGGCCTAATTTTTTAATTTTTTAAAAAAATTTTAAGAGAGCTCCCTGGGTGGTTTTGGCTATCCATTACCTAACTTTTCATTTCTGTTCCTTAATCCAAGTAGTGGGGATAAGTATTGGTCCTGCATAGCGTTGTTAGGATTAAAGTAAAATGTAAAATACTCATCATGTAGTAGTTGTGTACATGCTAATAGTCTACCATTCAGGTTTCCTTTCTAAAGAGCAATAGCTTGTGCTGCTGCTTCCTGAGTCCAGTTTGACATCTCCAGAATTGGCCAGTCCATGTGGTGCCCACACGCAGGCCTCTTGGCCCACAGGGCAGGATTTCATTTTCACCATCATATTCATCAACAAAAGAGAAGTGATTATCAATGGGGGCATGACATAGCCCAGATTTCTTTTTTTTTTTTTTTGAGACAGAGCTCTTCACTGTTGCCCAGGCTAGGAGTGCCATGGCATCAGTGTTAGCTTCACAGCACCTCAAACTCCGTGGGCTCAGAGTGATTCCTCCTGCCTCAGCCTGCCCGAGTAGGCTGGGAACTACGGATGCCGGCCACCATGCCTGGGCTAACTATTTTTCTATGTATATTGTTGGCCACATTAATTTCTTTTAGTTTATAGTAGAGACGAGGGTCTTCTCTGCTCAGGCTTGGTTTCGAACTCCTGACCCTTGGAGCGATCTCCCCGCGCCTCGCGCGGCCTCCCAGAGTGCTAGGCCATTACAGCGTAGCCCCGCGCCCGGGGCACATAGCCCGATTTCATATTGAGGTTGCCCCCTAAATCAGTCCTCAAACTCGGGGTTAGTGTGTACAGGAGGGCGAGAGCAGTAGACTTTTTTTTTAATTGATCAGACCATTTTTATTAATCTTTAGAAAATATTAGCCAAATTAATTCATACTTTAAAAAAAATATATTTCATATATACTATATACCACTACTGCGGTAACACCAGAAAACAGAAAAAAAGCATAGGAAATGTGTACCACACATAAAAAAGAGGTTGGTCAATAAAGATTAGTAATTTGACATCCATTTTCTTGGTCTCCAAAAAACGAGACATCCTTGGCTGTTTCTCTCACACCTGGTAGGTTCTACGTAAAATTCAAACTAAGGCCCTTGAAGGAGCTGGTTCCTAGTTCCCCAAAAGCTCCCCAGCGGATACACAACGCCTACTAAACCCATAATCCTTTCCCACCCGCGCGCCCTAAACCAATGTTCACTCTGTCCCTCCTCCCAATACTTGAACTACCACTCATCACTTCTCACGCCTTATGACACTTGGGTTCAAATAACTGGAAAAGGATTTAGATAATCTGTGGTACCGTGTTGAGCTATCTGTGGCATGGGTGATATACCCAGCAGGACTGTGTGCTGCTAGGAGCAGGGTTGTAGCTCAGAATCAGACCTCAAGTATTGGCAGACTTGAGAATCAACCAGTCAACCACCTATGTAAAATTTGAGAACTCTCCAAAATACTCCTCCAAGCAGAGGACTCTGTGATGGGACTACCCCCTACTCCACAGCAGCTTGTTCCTTCTTGGGGAAAAGGGTAGCTGTTAGAAAGCTCTCCTATAAACAGAATTCAGTTTTTTTTTTGAAATTTTAAAATTTAACCCATTCCCTAGTCAATCATAGAATAAATCAAATATCCTCTTGTTCATAGACAGCTTGTAAATATTATAAGATTTATATTTTCCTTCAATCTACCTAAACTCTAGTGGCTTTACAATTAAAAACAAAAAAAGCGTTAAATAACTTCTTGTCCACCATAAATTATCAGGGATTGGTGGGACAGTGGTATATTTGCTAAACCTAGAAGATAGGTGATTGTCTAATTTTATTAAAAGTTGTATTTATTAATATTTGCATATACTTAAAAAGGGGTCCCGAACCCCCAGGCCCGCAGACTGGTACACCTGTATGAGGACAGGGCTGCAGAGCTCCACCACAGCCACCCCCACCCTGGTCTGGGAAAATTGTCCATTCCATCACCAACTTGTCGGAACAGGGGAGCGCACATGAGGGGAGTGAGCAGCTAGCAAGCCAGCAAAGCTTCATCTGTATTTACTGCATTCCCCATCACTTGCATCACCCACCACCTGAGCTCCACAGCCCCCCACACCTCCCACTCCCATCAGCTCCCCACCCACCATCTGTGGAAAAATTGTCTTCCATGAAACCAGTTCCTGGTGCCAAAAGGTTGGGGACCCCTACTCTAAAAGATATGTTACTGGCTTTATAATATGCCTTTCACTCTCTGGTTTTAAGAAAAATAGTCAAGACTATAATAGGTAAGAATTTAGAAATTCAGAACATAAATACATTCTTCTACCATAATCTTTCTTACCCCTTTAAGGTTTTCTCATCTCCACTGTAAGCAGATAGTTTCTTTAATGCTACTGGAATGCCCCTCATGGGCAAAGCTAGACTTCAGACAAGCTGCCCAACTCTGCTGGGAAGAGTCCATCCTTAGGGGGAAGTCTCTTCTCACCTTCAGGGTCCCTTGGACTTCCTGGGCTGACTCAGGGCTTCATATGCAGCCTGGATTTCCAGGAAGTGCCTCTGTGCCTCCTCTGTCTGGTGCAGGTTGTGGTCAGGATGCCAGACCTTCACCAGCTCCCGGTAACTCCGATGTATTTCTTCATTTGTTGCCCCTTCTGAGAGGCCCCAAACCTGGTAAGCCAGCTGACGCTTCTCATCTTGAAAACTTTGAACAAACTCATAGAGCTTCTCCCACTCCTGGAAGTAGCTGCTGTTGAAGCCGGGATCCCCCACCAGTAGCCTCCAGATCCGATAAGGCAGAAGGAGGACAGACTCCATGAGGTGGCCAAGAAGGGGGAAGAAGCTGAATCAATTCAAGAAGGAGCCAAGGGTTTCTGCCACATAGCTGAGGGTGGCAGCTGTGTTGCAGAGGGTACTGTATGCCAGTGGGCCCGTGAAAGTAAGGTAAGCCAGGCCTAGCCGGTAGAGCCGCACACTGAGTGTCTCTGACTTCACTGAAGCTTTGTAGCTGCGATGCTTCTGGGCTGTGATGCTGGCAGCCAAGCTGATGGGTAGGATGGCTATGGGGCGGCCATAGAAGATAGGGGAAGTAAGGAATGCTGCTCCTAGAGTGTTCTTGAAGTCTGAGGTCTGGTTGCCAACAGTAGCCACCAGCAAGACCCCTAAGCCAACTGCCAGTGGGAGGGCCACAGTGTAGAAGTTGGCCATGGAAGAAAGGCTAATCAGAGCCACAAGGCCAAAATAGATGCCCACTACCATCTGAGCAGCAAAGCGAATGGGACTCAAAGGGGGTGTCCCCCCTCCTGGGCTCTGCCTCTGGCCCTGGGCTCTGTTGGCCTGAGCTACAAAGCTTGGGAGCTTCCAGAACTCCCAGAGCCAGCCCAGCCCACCCCCACCCAGGGTAAGCATCCAGAGCAGGGCATGGCTGTCCCTTCCCAGGTACAAGTGGTGGAGCCCAGCAGGACCCCCTACAGCCCAAAGAGCATAGGTCACCAGGAGCCCCTTGGCCATCCTCTAGGGCAAGGGTCTCAGAAGGAGTCTGGTGGCACCTGACATTGCTCAAGTACAGAAATCTCAGGGTCTTCTGTGAGAATCATGACCATGATGGCCCCAGAGTTATCCTTAGACCCTTGTCCAGAAGCCCAGGAGTAGCAGCCCACCGCGGCCTCTCCGGAGAGACTGCCCGACGGGAGCATGGAGACAGTCGCACCTGTGGCGCTCTGGCTGCTTGCTCGTCTCTCCACACTCCATTGCTGTTCAACACGACGGTGCATGGTTCCACTTCCAATTCCTCTAAGGCAGAGAAACCCATGGACGGGCTGTAAGGAGGGACGGCCCCATCCCGAGTTTGCCTCAAAATCCTCCTCCTCAAGTTTGTTTCACTGCTCTGCCTCCAGATCTTCCAGTTATGGGGCTCCACATCTAGGTGGGCCTGAGACCTGAGGAGCCTCCTGATCCAGTGGGAGCCCCGAGGCTGCTCTTTCCCGCCGGCTATGAGCGAGAGGGGAAAAAGAGGAGCAAAAAGGGATAGAGGGTTGGGAGCGCCTCACCAGGAGAGCGAGGCGGCAGCCCAAGACTCAGAGGACAGGGAATCCGCTTTTCTGCCGCCTCCGCGCTGGTATGGAGCTGGGATGCAAGATGCCTTCATTTCAGTGTCCCTGCCTCCAGTCCTGGGTTCTATGCCTCAATTTCCTGCGCTGTAAAGGAGGGGCTTGGATCTCCAAGGTCCCCACGTCTTAACTTGAGCCCGGTGCACCTCACCATTGTCATCGCCCTGCAGTAGGCAGAGTGCTTCTGTCCCCTCAGTCCTTATCCCAGCCAGGGGAGAAAATACGGCTCCCCACCTGACTCCTTAGGGATCACTGAGGGGCCTGGGCTGGGAGAGGCCCCAAAGCGACTCCCTAGCCAGTTGGGGGCGGGGGCGGACAGGGGCACTGAATAATGAATGAGACTTAATTGGGCAGGCACTGCGCCACCGCTGCGCGCTAAGCTTGGCAAACATCACTAGCTGCGGCCTCTGGACAAACAAACTAGCTTTAGGCACCGGGAGCGGAGTAGGGGCGGCAGCCGCAGGAGAGGGAGAGAAGGGGCTCAGATTTTTTTAATTGTAGTAAAATACAACAGAATTTGCCATTCTAACCATTTCTAAGTATAAAGTTCAGTAGTTTTGAGTACATTTACATTATTGTGAAACTATACCACCATCTGTCTCCAGAATTCTTTAATCTTACAAAACTGAAACTTTGTACCTATTAAAAACTACCTACCTATTCCCCCGCCCCACCTTCAGGCACTGAAAACCACCAATCCACTTCCTGCCTGCATAAATTTGATTATAGGTACCTCATGTAAGTAGAATCATACAATATTTGTCTTTTTGTGATTGGCTTATTTCACTTAACATAATAATGTCCTCAAGGTTCATCCATGTTGTTGTATGTATCAGAATTTCCTTTCTTTTTGAGACAGAGTCTTGCTCTGTTGCCTGAGCTAGAGTGCCGTGGCATCAGGCTAGCTCACAGAAACCTCAAATTCCTGGGTTCAAGTAATCCTTCTGCCTCAGCCTCCCGAGTAGCTAGGACTACATGCATGCACCACCATGCCCGGCTAATTTTTTCTATATATTTTTAGTTGTCCACCAATTTCTTTCTATTTTTAGTAGAGACATGGTCTCACTCTTGCTCAGGCTGGTCTTGAACTCTTGACCTTGAGCAATCCTCCCGCCTTGGCTTCCCAGATTGCTAGGATTACAGGCGTGAGCCACCACGCCTGGCCTCCTTTCTTTTTAAAAAGGCTGAATAATATCCCACTGTATATTTATACCACATTTTGTTTATCCTTTCATCTGTTGATGGACACTTGAGTTGCTTCCACATTTTGACTATTGCACATAACACTATGAACATGGATGTACAAATACCTCTTTGAGATCTTGCTTACAATTCTTTTGGTTAAATGCCCAGAAATAGAATTGCTGGATCATATAATTATGTCTACTTTTTTAAAAATTCAGGATATTATGGGGGTACAAACATTTTGGTTACATGTATTGTGTTTGTCTCACCCAAGCCAGGGCTACAAACGTGTCATTCCCCCATACAGTGTGCTCTGCTTCCATTAATTGTGAGTTCACCCCCCACTCCCCCACCTGACTGGCACCCAATGAGTATTACTACCATGTGAATACTTTAGTGTTGATCAGTTAGTACCAATTTGATGGCAAGTACATGCGATGTATGTTTTTCCATCCTTGTGTTACCTCACTTTGAAGGATGGGCTCAATCTCTATCCAGGATAATATAAGAGTGCTAATTTACCATTATTATTATTTTTTGCAGTTGAATACTGTTCCATGGTATACATATGACATTTAATTAATCCACTCATGTATCGATGGGTACTTGGGTTGTTTCTACATCTTTGCAATTGTGAATTGTGCTGCTATAAACATTCTAGTGCAGATGTCTTTATTATAGAATCTCTTTTGTTCCTTTGGATAGATGCCTAGTGGTGGTATTGCTGGATCAAATGGTATTTCTATTTTTAGCTCTTTGAGTAATTTGGAGTAAGTAATTTGGAGCTAATTATAGGCCCAATGGAGCTATAATTAGCTCCAAATTACTTTCCATAGGAGTTATACTAATTTGCAGTCCCACCAGCAGTGTAAGATAGTTCCAGTCTCTCCACATCCATGCCAGCATTTGTTGTTTTAGGACTTTTTGATAGAGGCCCTTCTCACTGGAGTTAGGTGATATCTCATTGTGGTTTTGATTTGCATTTCCCTAATGATTAGACATGTTGATCACTTTCTTATATGTTTTTTGGCAATTTGTCTTCTTTTGAAAAGTTTCTGTTCATGTCCTTTCCCCATTTATTAATGGGATTGTTTGATTTTTTTTGTTGGTGTTGATTTTCTTAAGTTCCATATAGATTCTTGTTATGAGCCCTTTATTGGATGTATAGAAAGTGAATATTTTCTCCCAATCTGTAGGTTGCCTATTTGCTCTAATGATAGTTTCCTTGGCGGTGCAGAAGCTTTTTAATTTGATCAGGTCCCATTTGTTTATTTTGTTGCTGCTGTGATTGCTTTGGGGGTCCTCTTCATAAATTCTTTACCTAGGCCGATGTCTAAGAGAGTCTTCCCAACATTTTCTTCTAGAATTCTTAAGGTTTCACACCTTAGGTTTAAGTCTGTTATCCACCATGAGTTGATTTTTGTGAGAGGTGGGGATCTGGTTTCAATCCTCTGCATGTGGGTATCCAGTTTTCTCAGTGCCACTTATTGAATAGAGAATCTTTTCCCCAATCTATACTTTTGTCTGCTTTGTTGAAGATTAGATGACAATATGAGGATGGTTTTATATCTGGGATCTCCATCCTATTCTAAAGGTCTTTATCTCTGTTCTTGTGCCAGTACCATGCTGTTTTTGGTTACTAAAGCCTTGTAGTAAAGTTTGAAGTCTGGCAGACTGATGCCTCCCAATTTGTTCTTTCTACTTAAGATTGCTTTGGCTATATGAGGTTCTCTGGTTCCAGACGAAGTGTAGAATTATTTTTTCTAAATCTGTAAAGAATGATGTTGGTATTTTGATAAGGATTGCCTTAATTCTGTAGATCACTTTAGGTAGAACGGACATTTTAACAATATTGATTCTACCAATCCATGAGCATGGTAGGGATTTCCATTTGTGTACATTTTCCACAATTTCTTTTCTCAGTGATTTGTAGTTTTCCCTATATATCTCTCTCACCTCCTTCATTAAATATATTCCTAAATGTTTAATTTTCTTTGATGCTATTGTGAAAGGTGTTGCATCTTTGATTTGATTTTCGGCTTCACTGTTATTGGCATATATGAATTGCGCTGATTTGTGTGCATCAATTTTGTATCCTGAGACTTTACTGAATTCATTTATCAATTCAAGGAGTCTCTTGGCTGAATCCTTGGGATTTTCTAGGTATACTAGCATATCATCAGCAAAGAGTGAGATTTTGATATCTTCTGCCCCCATTTGGACACCCTTAATTCCCTTCTCTTGTTTGATTGCTCTGGCAAGGACTTCCAGGACTATGTTGACAAAGTCCCCAAATAACAAATGCTAGTATGAATGTGGAGAGATTGGAACACTCTTACACTGCTGGTGGGACTGCAAATTAGTACAACCCCTATGGAAAGTAATTTGGAGATACCACAAAGAGCTAAAAATAGAAATAGCATTTGATGCAGCAATCTGACTACTAGGCATCTATCTAAAGGAACAAAAGACATTCTGTAATAAAGACATCTGCACTAGAATGTTTATAGCAGCACAGTTCACAACTGCAAAGATGTGGAAAAAAACCAAATGCCCATCAATACGTGTGTGGATTAATAAAATGTAGTGTATGTATACCATGGAATAGTACTCAACTATAAAAAACAATGGTAAACTAGCACCTCTTATATTATCCTGGATAGAGATTGAGCCCATCCTTCAAAGTGAGGTATCACAAGGATGGACAAACATGCATTGCATGTACTTGCCATCAAACTTGTACTAATTGATCAACACTAAGGTGTTCACGTGGTAGTAATACTCACTGGGTGCTGGACTGGTGGGGGTGAGTAGAGCAGGTAGGGTGAGTAAACCCACAGTTAATGGAGATGGGGCACACTATATGGGAGAAGGACACGCTTGTGGCACTGGCTTGAGTGAGGCAAATGCATTTCATGTAACCAAAATGTACCCCCATAATATCTTGAATTAAAAAAAAAAGTTTAATGCCTAGAGATCAGTATGACACTTTTAAAATGTTACTCATCAATGATTTTGTTCCAAGCCAAAAACCATCTTTCTGTATTTTAAGATAAATAAAAGCCATCAAATCTTTTATTTTTTTTAAAAAAAGAATTATTAAGTCTTCTTGTTGGATATTTCCTTTCACTGTTATATAGTGACCATCTTTGTCTTTCTTTACTTTTGCTATTTTAAAATTTATGTAGTCGGAAATCAGAATAACTACTCCTGCTCTCTTTTGTCTTCCGTTTGTCTGGGATTTTGTGTTCCAACCCTTGACCTTGAGTCTGAAAGCATCTTTGTGGGTTAGATGCATTTCCTAGAGACAGCAGATACTTGGCTTATAATTTTTTAT